TAACCATAAATATTTGACTAAAAAGATTATGTACATTAATTACATTGATTTTTGTTAATTTACTATTTTTAGACAACAGTTAATGAAATTGGCGGGAAAGTGTTTCTAAAAGTGAATTATGTTAATTTACTATTTTTAGACAATAGTTATACAATATGGATGACAAATCGAAGATCATCAAAAGATGATTAATTTGATATATTATATATGTAAAATCGATACGAAATACAGAAGTTATCGACTTTTAAAATACATTTATAATTCAATAGTTAATTGAAGGAAACAAATCAAAAGTTAGGGATATATAAGTTACTTAGTGCCTCAGTATGTAAAATTACAAATAAATAAAGGGTTATATTAGTACAAGTGATATTAAAATACCGAAGTTAGATAAATAATAGCTATGGATGTCCAAACCTAAATTATTAATTATTAATATATCAATATTAATTGTCCAAACCTAATTACGAAGCATGATTCTTTCCCAAGTAGGATTCCGAAGCATCAGAAGCAGCCACGTGGGCTTAGCGCATTCTGGAATAATATATAGGGAGGATTATAAATGTTCATTAAATAATATTTATAAATTAGAAATATATGAAATCAATATGTAATACAATTTACCTATATTAATTTGTTGAAAGTGTTATATGAAATTTAAATTGTGCAAAATTACATGAAACATGTCTATTTAAAATTAGTACACGGCCCGTACAGTACAAGTAACTGATAATAAGTTTCATTATATTTATTTCAAAAATAGATGTCATTTTAAAATTTTTAATCAGAAATTTGATTTGACTATAATGTGATTTAAGTAAAAGAAACCTTTATACATACACACACACCCCCACACACGCACACACACCAAATAATTTGGTATGTTCCACGCACAACAAAGAAGATTCGACCATAGCATTCTCCAGATTTTTCTTTCTTTAATATCGAGTAAAATGCTTAGCAATACGAAAAAAAATATCGAGATACCATTTATTAACATAAGCGGTTATATTGGATCAATATATAGTATGCCAAATAATTTGATTTCATACATTATCGGTAAAATACAAAAAATGATATTCAATTTAACAACAAATTAATTGTCCAACGTACAAAACAAAATCAAGACTCACGTTTATTATAGATAAAAAATAAAAGGACCCATAAATAGTTATTAAATAAATAATTCAATAGAAACTGCCATTAATGCAATTATTTTAGAATTTATAAGAAAATATAATAGAATAAAATCAACCAAACTTACACGATCTGCGTAATTAGGGTATCTTAAAATTTTAAAATTTTATTGTCTAATTATTTCTTTAACTATCTAAGATTTGAGCAATTAAATACACAAAAAAATGAACAACATTTATTAAATAATATATAAATAAAATTATCATTAACACAATTTTTTTAGAACAGATTTGCAAACTGCATAATTAATTATTGTTGTCAATATTTCCATAATTGTAGTAATTATTTACAGATTGAATAAATCATTTGCATTTACACACTTTGCGTAATTAAGGTATATAGAAAATGTATTTCACAAAAGGACTACATGAAAAATACAAAACAGTTATTAAACAATAAATTTTACAATTTAGTTGAATTTTTTTTTTTTTTTGCCAAGACACATAATTGCTATTGCAGACGGAATTTCTATATTTGGGTAAATTAGCCAATTAACATGACTTGAGTAATTAAGGTATCTTAAAAATGAATTTACCATAAATGATTATTTGAAATACACTATAATTTTTTAAATTAAAATGAGTAATTAAGGTATCTTAAAAATAAATATTTATAGGAGAAATTCCATTGCAGGGCCTGATTTTTTGATATTGTGTCATAATAGGGTCTATATTTTTAACTTTTTCAACTGAGGGTTTCACTTTTAACTTATTCTCAATATAAAGCCTACTTTTACATTCTACTTTTTAATTTAAGGCTCCAAATAACTTTGTATTTGGACATAATTATGTAAACCACAATATTAATAAAAAAAATATTTTTAAGCACTTATACTAAAAAAATTAAATATCTTAACAAAATTATCTAATAAAATAATTATTTCAAAATTTATATTTATGAAAAGCTTAATGAAATTTATTTCAAAAGTTTAAAAAATAAATTTTAACTTAATTTTAATCTAAATATGAGAATAACAATAAATAATAAATTATTTAAAAAAATAAATTAAAGTAATTTTACTAAAGATATTTACAATTATTTAAATATAAATTTTAAAATAATAGTATTGTAGCTTATATATTTATGTAAAAATATAAAGTTAGTTGGAATGCCAAAAAGCCTTGTATTGAAAAAATCATCATGGAATGCCAAGTTGACAACTCAAAATATATTTTTAAGGGAATAGGAAATCTTTCATAAACAAATCAAGCGATTTTATGCAATTTATTCGTGCTAGCATAAAAGGTTACCGAATTTTATTCAAGAGCATTTTGCAGGTAACAGATTATATTTATCAACAAATCTTGAAATTTTATTATGTATTTTAAAATTTGAAATTAATGATTTAATGGCGGGATTTTTAAAAAATTTTGAAAAAGATTACCAACATTAGTAAGTTTTAATTTTTTCGATGGGATTTTAGTTGCTATTTTAGGTAAATGCCAAACCTTTATATATATACATAAATAAAATAAATAATATTGAGTAGTATAATACTTTTATTTTTATTTTTAATTTTTTATGACATATAATAGTTTAATAGTTATTTTATATGTGTATTTTAGCCATCTATACTTATATTAAAAGTTATACTATTTACTAAATGTAGTATGTAGAATAGTCAACCCTAATTAATGATTTGCTATTATTTGTATAAAATTTTTTACATATTTGCTCTCTCTATATATACATATATGGAGGTTAAATGAAGAATTTTTATACATATTTTCCTTACGGGTAGTTTAGAAAAATTTAGGTAGTTTCAAACATTATTTGTGAATAATATAGAATATTTTAGATGCTTTTATATATGTTATAAAATACTTTAAGTATTTTTAATATTTATATATCACACTTAAAAGGAATATTTTGCCCAAAAAAAAACATTAAATACACAATGTAAATGTTAATAGAAACAGTCTTCAGTGTTCGTCTTTGATTTTGTCAAAACAAATCTCATAAAATCAGTGAAGTCAAAATTTGTACGTAAAGTCTATCTATACTAAAAAAAGGTAGATTCAAAATTCATTATCTAATTTCTTCTTTTCCTTATCTAATTCATTCTTATTATCTAATTGTATATAAATCTGTTCTGATTTTGTTCAATCCTCTAATTGTATTTGTATTATATCTCATAAAATTGGTTTAACAAAAAAAATTCCATAACATCCGATAAGTAAAAAAATACGTAAAATCTTTACTAAAATAAAAAAAGCTTTATTTATTAATTAATTGTATAGAAATCTGTTCTGATTTTATAGTACGTACTACAAATTGTGCACCCGTGTTCAGGAGCTACTTAACGGGCAAGCTCTGTAGAAATAACTCATTTAGTGCTTCTGTCCCGTGCATACGGTATGTATTTGTATTACATACTAGAAAATTATGCACCCCGTGCATCGCACCGACTCTGTACTAATAAATGACCTTAAAATTGTGCATCCCGTGCATCACCCGTGTTCACATTTTGGCCTATTGCAGGTCACGTACTATATATATCCCGCACATTTTTCTTTATTCCTTTACATAATTTTAAGACTTGATAAATGACCTTAATTTTGCGCA